AGGTTTACACGCGACTCAACTTCTTTTTATGCCGCTTTGCCTTCCGCCCTCCTCCCTTCTCACCGCAGCATTGCATTGTGCTCGTCTCACCCCTTCCTTCCATCCTTTTACTTCTCATCTTGTGGCAGTGGCCCAATGAGTTTGAGTAAGCTACTTCCTTTGTGATTTGAACTCTTCATCTAATTATTCCTCATAACCTAACATTGTTACTGTGCTTCCTAGTTTTCATGTTCGAAAGTGTCATCTGATACGCATAATGATTAAGAAGAGCCTTAACCTAACCATTGAGGGGAGTAGCAATTTATGAGGTTGTCAGAACTAGTTACCCTTCCACTAGTTTTAGAAAATAGGTCCCTCGACCACACGATTCCCCTATTAACAGTGAGCAGTAACCTTCCTTAATATCACATGCCATGTGCAACTCCCTGATTGGTAAGCACCACTGGTCCTAGGATTTAGGCACGCATATGCATAAGAGATGAGATGCAGTGAGTCAACTCTGACTAGGCAATTGGGCTAATTCGACGCACTCTAACACGGTGGTCAGTAATTTTTCTTGTCGATACAAAATCCACTTAAAACAACGATGTTCATATGCGCTACAAAATGTGAAACAGACGCTACTGCTGCTTCCATGAGCCTTTGGTGGAAGTGGTGACAATTTCGCCTCCTTTCCATTCTTCGGAGCGTTGAACGCATAAAGCCTTACTTTATAGTGTTGTGTTGGGTTGCAAATGATGCTTTATCATTAATGTCTCAAAACACCCTTTGTAGCGCACATGTTGAGGGACTTAAAAACATTATTACAGCTTATTTGTGCACTAACGCTGAGACCGCAGTCTTAATCTTCATGATTCGATGGTTGAAGTAGACTTGGCTGTGGAAGAATGCCAATTTGAAAATATCTAAGCGCTTTAAGGAAGGTTTCACAAACCTTTGTACGTGACACCTTAAGAGTCCTTCAAGACAGCTTAAACTGTGGAATCCCCAGAGCAAGGCGTCACGATTAAGACTAAAGAGGCCAACCACTCACCACAGTTTGCAGAATTTCCATTTCCGTATGACTATTTAAGCCATCAACGAAAGTCACCTTAGACACTTTGAAGGGATCCACCAAAGTTGCCGTGAAAACATGAAAGCTATTAATGCCACTGTGGCGAACAAGGAATAAATTGAGGGCATCAAATTGGTGCATCTTCATCGATTACGACCTTCCTTTGCTCTTCTTCTCTTTCTGGTCACCCACAGTAAACCTGCTACAATGACGCCATCGTTTCGTCTATAACGTACACACCAGTAATCAGTGTCGGTT